CCTGGGATCGAGTCCCACATCGGGCTCCCTGCATGGAGCCTGCTTCTCCCTCTGCCTGTGTCTCTGCCTCTCTCACTCTCTATCTTTCATGAATAAATAAATCTTTAAAAAAAAAAAAAAGATGTATCTCTTGCAGGGCACCTGGGTAGCTCTGTCAGTTAAGTGTCTAACTCTTGGTTTCCACTCAAGTCGTGTTCCAGGTTTGTGAGACTGAGACCCATGTCAGGCTCTGTGCCCAGTGTGGAGTCTGCCTGAAATTCTTTCCAGCTCCCTCTCCCAACTCACACTCTCTTTCTAAAATAAATAAATAAAATCTTGCTCGTGCGCTCTCTCTCTCTCTCTCTCTATATATATATATATATATATAAACACATACAAACACACACATATATATATACAGTGTGCCAATCTTTGAATTTTAAGTGGAATATTTCATACATTTACATTTATTTCCTAACATAATTCAATCTAAATACATATTTATTTTCCTGTTTTCTTATCTCTTCTTTGTTCTTTTCTTTCTTGTCTCCTTTTGGATTTATTATTTTCCTTATATTCTCTGACTATTCTTGTAGCAAACAATAACATGACGAATATCTGAGTATTGTTAGAAATTCACATTTTCAGGGGTACCTGGCTGGATTAAGTGGTAAAGCATGTGACTCCTGATCTCAGGGTTGTGAATTCTAGCCCCATGTTGGATGCATAGACTACTTAAGAAAATAAAATCTTTGGGGCACCTGGATGGCTTCGTTAGTGGAACATAATCTCAGGGTTGGGAGTTCAAGCCCCATACAGGGTGTGGAGATTACTTTAAATAAAATCTTAAAAAAAAAAAAAAAAAACGAAATAAATTCAAATTTTCAGACTCCAATCCAATGTACTAAACCAAAAATTCTCAGGTGAGGCTCAACAATCTGGGTTTTAACAAGCCCTCCTAGTTATTGTGACATATGTTGATGAACCACTGCCCTAAATATTACAACATGCTCTTGCCTTAATACTTTTACTACTTCCCATGCAATGCAAAGACTTTAACTGTAAATACAGTTGATCCTTAACAACATGGATGTAAACCACATGGGTCCATGTATATACAGAATGTTTTCAATAAATATAGTACAGAGGAACCTGGGTGGCTCAGATGGTTAAGTGCCTGAGTCTTAATTTCAGTTCAGGTCATGATCTCAAGGTTGGACATGCTTAAGACTCTTTCTCAAAAAAAAAAAAAAAAAAAAAAAACTCTTTCTCCCTCTCCCCCTGCTCCTCCCTGCCTTAAAAATATATATAAAATAAACAGCACAATTACTGGGGCACCTGGCTGGCTCAGTAGGTAGACCACGTGACTCTTGATCTTGGGGTTGTGAGTTCAAGCCACATGTTGAGTGAAGACTTTGATTTAAAAATATAAATAAATAGGGGTACCTGTGTGGCTCAGTCAGTTGAGTATCTGACTTTGGCTTGGGTCATGATTGGGATCCTGGAGTTGGGATCCTGGTGCTGTCTCTCTCTCAAATGAATAAATTAAAATCTTTAAAAATAAATAAATAAATAAACAGGACAGTACTGCAAAAATGTTTTTCTCTTAAGATTTTCTTAACACTTTCTTTAGCTTTATTGTAAGAATAACAGTATATAACATACAAAACAGGTATTAATCAACTATTTTGTTATTAGTAAGGCTTCTGGTCAACAGTAGGCTATTTATTAGTTAAGTTTTGGGGAAGTCAAAAGCTTTATGAAGATGTTCAACTGTGCAGGAGGTGTGGGGGGGGGGGCCCTGGCATCCTTCAACTCTACACTGTTCAAGGGTTGATCATATATTTCTTCCTGCCTTACCTGAATACTGTCATGTATTTTAACTTCTACAGTTATTTTAGACTCAAAGGTATTGTACTATGTAACAGAACTGCTATTGTAAACAGTCAATACATACTTAGCTTTATAAACAGACATACTTTTTTGGTGTCCTTCATTCTTTCAGCACAGGATAATTTCCATCTATCTGAAAAATTAATTCCCTTTAGCTGTTTAATACTAGTGTACTAATAATGTTATTTTCTCTGATTTTGTTTTTGTAAAAATCTATTTAACCTTAATTTTTCACAGAAATTTTAATTGTAGAAACTTGGGTTAGCAGTATTTTCTTTCAGCACTATACAGATTTCATTCTCATGTCTGGTGTTTAATCATTTCTATTCAGAAATCAGTGCCTGGCTTACTGTTGTTTGAAGTTGCCTGGTTTGCCTCTAATTTTAAGACTTTTTTTAATCTCTGTTTTTCAGCAACTTGATTTTCTTTGATAAGCTTTTCTTTTGATTAATCCTTCTTTAGGTTCTCAGAAGTTCTAGAATCTGTACTGTGTTATCTTTCATCAGTTTAAAAATTTTAATATATTGTTTCTTCATTCCTTTTTCCTCTCCATTGAACCTAATAACAAGTTTGTTAGACCTTTTCCCCTCTCTCCTACTGATCTCTTAAGCTTTCCTGTATTTACATTGCTTTTCTTTGTGTTTCAATCTACATATTTTCTACTGACAGCTCTTCCAGTTTACTATTCTCTCCTCTGGTGTACCTAATCTGATTAGACCCATGTATCAAATTCTTAATTTCAATTATTATCGTTTTCAGTTCTAGAGTTTCCTCTTGATTCTTCCATACAGATTCCAATTCGCTGATAAATTTTCCATGATTCAACTATTTTCTTACAGTTATTTCAAAATCAGTATCTAGTAGATCACTTGTAATATGTTTATACTGTCTTTCCTTACCCATTCCCTTGTTATTTATTTGGTCCTGTTTTCTATTATGTCTACAATTTTTTACTGAAAGGGAAATCTTACTTATGAAAATTTGTAACAACTCAGGATGATGTTATTTTTCCATAAAGGATTTAGTTTTCTTTTGGCAAGTTGAAAAATATTAGCCACCACCCTAGTAACAATTTGAAGCTGGTCTGTTTTGGTTTACTCTTACTCACAGAAGCCTTCTGAGGTACTGACTTGAAAGCCTGGAGGGTTTACCATAGATCCCCTCCTCCTTGAAGATCATGAACAATAATTTTGTTCCCTCCTTCTGAGACTGTTTAAATCTGAGTAGTGAAAAATCCACTTCATTTTTCTATGCCTGAGCCCAAATACATGAGTTAGAATTAGTAAATGCCTTAAGTCAATATTACTTGCAAGAAGCTGAACTCACTACTGAGATTCATGAGGATCTTAGTCCTCGAGTCATGGCTGTTTGATAGCTTCAAACTCCAGTTTTCATCTTCCTAGCCCAATGACTGGTCTAGGTGTCTGCTTTCTGTTCAGCCTCTATGCCATGCATTGAGAACTGAGAAATGTCTCAAGGGAAATATGCATGGCTTATCTCAATGTATTTCCCTTTTTCCTGGGATCTTCGCCCCTGAAGTCCTGGCTTTTCTGTTCTCCAGTGTCTTTCCACTCTTTTTTATTGGTAGTGGGGATGGTGGTATTTTATGTAGATAGAAAGTAGGATTAATCTAATCTAATAGTAGCTATTCCATCATATCTAGAAGCAGAAGTCTAAAAACTCCACCTCCTTTGACCCCCATATTATTTCATAATGAAGTCCGAGCTTTACTATTTCCTGATTGTTTCCTAATAACCACACTATCTACGTTTAGGCCTCATTATCTCCTACCTGTACTACTGCAAAGAATAGTATTGGATATTTCTGATTCTAACCCATGTGCTCCACCAGAAATTCTCAAGTTTAGTTGGCACCATTAGGGATGATTTCTTAAAGTACAGATATCTAAACCCTATCCGTAAGTATAAAATAAATGAGTTGGCAGGCCTTCAGTAAAACCTTAGAATTACCACCAGCCCCACCAAACACACACATACACACGCCTTCCCAAAGTGATTCTGATAGAATCATTCCATGAATTGGTATTTGGAAAAAATCAATACTCTATACCTCAGCTGCCAATTTCCTTTCTGAATTGTAAATCCGATCAGCCACTAAGATGATAATCTGCTTGTATTGGTTTATTATACTTCTACAAATAAAAAGAATCTATGTATACTGTATCAGTATAGTTATGTATATACATAGGTGTATGTTTATGTGTGTGCATGATAAAGTGGAAGAGATAAACCAAAAACCAGTGTAAGTAAGGGGGAAAGGAAGGGAGGGTAAAAGCAAGGTATGAAAGTGAGAAGGAGCATGACTGTGAGACATATATGGCTTCAAGATGCTCATGGTTTAGTAAGGGAGGAAATACATGCATAAAACTTAGCTACTTCATGAACCTCCCAGAGACTTTTTAGGTTTTAAAAGATGAGCCTAAGAAATTACTTTGTAAGGAAGAGATATTTGTATCCCACTAGGTATATAATGACTTGCATGAAATTTTGAAGTTCTGACTCTTGCTTCAAAAGGACAGGGAAGGAGAGGGGAGAGGAGGGGAGGAAAGGAGAAGGAAGGAGAGGGAAAGGGAGAAAGAGAAAAAAAGAGAAGGAAAGGAAGGAAGGAAAAAACTGCAGACTACTACATACCCTCTCTGGATATGCACCTACACTTGAATGAGTATCATGAAACAGGTTGACCACCATTCAAAGAACTCTATGAGTTTGTCTAAATTATTCATTTTACTGGATTCTGTTAACTCCTTGGGAATCTGAAAATCTTTTCTTCAAGCACATATTTAGAGGGGTAATTAACGGTTTTTGAAACAAATTGATTCAACAAATTACTGACTAAAAAATTCTATCAATAGGAACTGGCAGTGGCAAGAATTTAAATTAAATAGAGCTTCACAATAAGCATCCTCCAACTTCTTTAGAGAAGTATTTTCTTCTAACTGCGTATACCTCAAAACATTGTGGATTCAAGCTTTCAAGCTCCCATGTATAGGATAGCCAAATTTGTAACATCTTTAAACACAATCATACAGAACTCTATTGTTGTTATAAAAGCAAATTAAATGTATTATTCAATGACATTTCAAAAATGTTTAAAAAAAACAGAATTACTTTGTTAGTCACAGTGTTGATTGCCAGAGTTGGAGAGGCACTTCCCGAAATAATACACTCCATTCCCAAAGAATCTGAATCTATGCTATATGGAGTTGAGGCCTAAAATACAAGAACAAAATAAATAATCATTAGCTTATATATTCAGCAACTTTAACACAATTTGAAGGTATTTCATCAAATTCTCCAACATCCAGTTTTGTGCTGTTTCTGAAAACATGAATTTAAATCCTTACTGAAATCTCCTGTACTATATTTTAATATGGTACTGACTTGATATCACAAAGTCCATTGGTTTGGCTACTTTGAACCAGCTCTTTTAACTGACTGTAGAACAGCTGAGCAAAAATCCTAAACTTCTGTATTAGAGATTGCTAGAGGTCATCTAATATCCATTTTCCGTCTTCTCCCTTTTAGTAATAAAACCCTATTGCCTTATGGCGGCTCTGCTACTACCACCTTTCCAGGCCTCATTTGCAACCAGTTGTGGCCATGTGACTAAGGTGTATAAGTGGCCAGGTAACTAACTTGTGTAAAGCAGATGTGAGCAACAGTGATATGTGCAACTTCTGTCTACCTTTTTGAAGAACCTGCTTGTCTTCCACTCTGCCTTTCCCTCTTATATCCCTCTTATGTCCCAGCCTTATATATGTAGGCTGGGACACAGACATGGGGTGGTAAACTTGCTTAATCAAAAAGCCAAGGGTAATACCCTAGGAAACATCGAAAAGATGAGAAGAAACAAAAACATCTGAATGAACTTGTAGAACACAGCTGGTTGGTTATCTGTCTAATCTATAAGTTCTAATTATGTGAAAGAAATAAATCTCTGATTTAAGGTTCTCAGTTGCTTAATTGTTCTTCCTTTATCTGTTAGTGCAATAGAACAGATCTGAGTAACACAACTTCATACACATTGTTTATAGAGCTAACATGGAGGTCAAAATTCTACATTTAGAATCCAGGATATAAATGGTGATAACATCTTTTTTTCGTAAGAGATGATTTATGGCTTTGGTGAGTACTCAAGAGTGTTCAACTTCAATGCCAAAGCTGAAGAAGGATAGACATAAACAATTTGTGGCTATGATGCTAGTTCCATGTATATTCCTCTTCTGCTCCCGCCCCCAAAAAAAGCCATATATGGTCCCAAGTGAGGATGCATTTCTAAAACACCACACTGAATGAAAAAGAGGGCAGTTTCACCAAGACATATTTCTAAGATTAATCTACTTATCACTTAATCCCTCATCATGAATTTTTTTCTTCAGACAACTTACAAAAGGTAGGGACACGCAGTTTGATTGAAATGAAAAAAAGAAAAGGCAAGCCCCCGACCCCACCCCACGCGAAGATAGAATCTAGCATTTTTGTGCTGGGTACATGGGTACACATTGAGAGTGAGGCAAAAGTGGCAAAGGGCTTCAGAAATACAAGTGAAGAAGTACAAAGATGATTTTGTCTATGCCTCAATCTAGTGCCAGTCAACTTAGCTAAACCTGAATTAACATATAAGATTACTTTAAAACACTGTATCTCATGTTCCTCTAACTTAACTGAGTCATCTCCAATCCAACTATTGGTTCACTATTTCTCACTCCTCCCCACTGGTAGGAAGAAGCAAGCATGTGTCTGTATGATGGCATGCAAATTATTCAACCTTTATGCTCTTTCACCCATCTATAAAAAGGAGGATTATGTCATTTCCTTCAGAAGTCTGTTAAGAGCATTAATGAAATAATTTATGCAAAGCTCTCAGCATGATACCTGAAACACAGTAAGGGCCAGCCTGTTGACTACCAGAACATATCTGCTATTGATGCTGAGGATCGTTGAAACGCGATATTTAATAGTGATTAATGAGAAAAGGGACAGATTTGCTATGAGACACTGTTTTCCTACAAAGCTAGATTCATAGCTTCAGCTATTATAAATCAGATGGTAAATTTTAAAAATCTTTTAATTAAATATTTATGGACACTTCAGTCTGGTTCAATCAGGAGAATAAACAACACTCTCTTTACAACATGCTTTGATATGCTCAATAGTGTGGTGTATATTTTTACTTACAGGCACACTGACAATTAACAGTCTGATTAATAAAGCCAGGGGATCTAGGTATCCCAAAATGTATCTTGATAACTGTTGTTATTGCAGCCAAAACTCAAATTCTGGACAAAGAAAGTATCAATGAGTCTAATCTGGGGGAACCAGTCAGTTTATGAAAGATCCTTTCTGGCGTTTTCTCTTACTCCCTGTCAAAATCAAAATCTTACCCATTCAAGTTCTACTTCCAGTATGGTGGTGTGATATCCCACAGAACAACCTTCTGCTGGTAACAACTACAAACTGGGGGGGTGAGGGAAGGAGGCACAGAGCATAAGATGACAACAAGCAGAGGATTCCAAGAAGTAAATATATTAGGCAGATATAGAAAGAAGTCAAAACTTGGAGACACTAGCCTCAGTTTCCTGGTTTCTTGCAGCTTTGCCCCAAGGCTGGGCAGTAGATGTGGAGGTAGGTAGCTAAAGTTGTCTTTCTGTCAGGTGGAACTAGGGAAAAGAACCCAGGTAAACACTGCCAGATATCAAAGAGAGAACAGAATCTGAACAGGGTAGAATGTCAAAAGGGATACTCTAATACTATGTATGAAACACCACACAAGTCACAAAAGGCTGACCTGTGACTATGCAAATGCAGACTAGAATAAAGCAGACAGACTTACAGAATCAGATCGAAATTGGAACCACTGTCCATAGAAAAGAGAACGTAACAGTTTGAGACTAACATGGTTAACCACCAGCTAAAACAGAAATACCAATATTCTATGGAAGATTGTAACAGAATCCAGAATCTATAAAACATTATTACTTATAATGTCCAAGATACAATCCAAAATTACAAGACATACAAGCAACAGGAAAAGACAACCCACTGTCAAGAGAAGAGATGATCTATGGTAGCCTACCACAAGAAGACTGAGATATTGAAATTATGAGACACAGACTTTAGAGTAGCTAATTCTAATCATGCTCAATGAGATAAAGTAAAAAACAAAAACGAAGCACACTTGAATGAAAACATAATAAAGCAAATCTTAGTGGAGAAAATAAAAATATAAAAAGGAACAGAATCAAAATTTACAAAAGAAAACTACATTATCTGTATTTTGACAGAGGATAGGCTTAATATTAGAATGGAGATAAAACAGTAAAGAATCTGTGAACTCAAAGGCAGAGCAACAAAAATTAAAGGACAAAAAGAAAAAAGATTGATTAAAAAAATTAGAGCATCAGAAAGCTATAGGATAATCTCAATGGTGTAACATACTTAGAGATCAGGAAGGAGAGGAAAGAGAAAAAAATATGCAAGGATTGATGACTGAACACTTCAGAAATTCATTTAAAGACAAATGTATATATTTGAGAATCTCATAGTAAACCTCCATAAGACCTATTTTTTAAAAAAAATCCCACTTGGATATATATCATGATTGAACTACTGAAAATTAAACACAGAAAGCAGCAAAAGAAAAATCGTGTATCACATATAGAAGAACACTGATTGGAAATGATCAGATTTCTCATTAAAATGATGGAGGTCAGGGCACTTGGGTGGCTCAGTCAGTTAAGTGGCTGGCTATTTCAGCTCAGGTCATTATCTCAGAGTCCTAGGAAGGAGCCCCAAGTTGGGCTCAGCACTCAGTAGGGAGTATGCTTGTGGATTTCCTCTCCCACTGCCCCTTGCCCTGCTCATTCTCTCTCAAATAAATCTTTTTTTATTTAAAAATGATGGAGATCATTAGAAAGTAAACATCTTTAAAGTACTGAAAGAAAAAACCTTTCAATCTAGACTGTATATCATAGGAAAATATTCTTTAGGAAAGAAGGCACAAGAAAGACATTTTCAGAAAAACAAAAACTAAGAGAATCTGGTGCCAAGAGACCTGCATATATTGCAAGATAGTTCATTAGGCTAAAGGTAAATTACAGCATAGGGAAATGTGAACCTTGAGAAAAGCTTGTTTTCCTCTTAGGTTTTAAAAACAGTATGATTATTTAAGGCAAAATTTGTAACACTGTCTTACAAGACTTCCAATATATGCAGATGTCATACATATTACAACTAGAAGGAATGATGAGAAAAGGGGCAAAAAGGACCCATGTGGTTGGAAGAGATTTCTGCATTTTATATGAAATGGTAAATTATTATGTCTGAGTAGACTACAAAAGGTTAGGAACATATACTGGAATTCAAATATATAAGTCCCAATCTATAGCTAAAAAGCCAATAGATAAATTTAAATAGAAACCTAAAATACATCTAAGTAATCTAAAAGAAGGCAGGAAAGGGGGAAAGAAAGGAACTAAAAACATAGAGGTCAAACAGAAAACAAAATGAAGACCTAAATCTAACAATATCAATAATTACATTTAAGTTAATAATCTAAACCTCCACTAAAAAGATTATCAAAGATACTAAAAAAGAATCTGCTAACTGCAGCCTACAATAGTCACAACTTCAAACATACAGACACAGAGGAGATGAAAGTAATACATGAAAAAATATATACACTGTAAACAGTAAACATAAGGATAAAATGACTATATTAATAGCAGATAAAACAGACTTTATGACAGAGTATATCAAACGATTAAAAAACATTTGAGAGGGATGCCTGGGTGGCTCAGCAGTTGAGCGCGCCTGCCTTTGGTTCAGGGTGTGGTGCAGGGGTCCTGGGATGGATTCCCACTTAGGTCTTCCTGCATGGAGCCTGCTTCTCCCTCTGCCTATGTCTCTGCCTCTCTCTCTCTCTCTGTGTTCTCTCATGAATAAGTAAAATAAAATAAAATGTAAATGTGACTAATAAAAGAGCTTCAAATTACATGAAGCAAAAACCAATTAAAATCAGTAAGAAAAACACTGGCATGCATTAGCAAAATGCCTTGATCTAATTGATATTAGAGAACACTATATCCAACTGTAGAATACATATTCTTTTCAAGTGCACACAGATATTTCATTATAACACATGCTGAGCCACAAAATAAGTCTTAATAAATATGTAAAAGCTGAAATGAAAAAAAAAAACTTTATTATAA